GTACGGGATCGGGAAAGTCACTTAACTTACAGTCAAATAAGGCACACACAACGAAATACGTTTCAACTCTCGTCTTAGTCGATCTTTGGAGCACTCTATAAGACACAGCGCCCTGGGGAAAAGTCCCCAAGACTCTCACAAGGCTGAACCAAGACTCACCCAAGACTGGACTGCGTCAAGGCTCGCCCCAAGACTGGACTGCGTCAGTCGTGGAGTATTCGCCAAGACCAACTCAAACTCTCTTTATTCATTTTCACAACTCTAACCAATTACAAAGCAGTAAAAAGACTCTAGGGCGTAACCTTCAATCATAAAGCCAATCACACTAAGTACTGAATACGTCATATCTTTTGATTAATCGTTCACTACATTAATAACTACGGATGTCAGAATAGCGACGGTATCTTGTAATTAGTTCCAAATCACTGAGCCAAGTTCCGTCTAAAACTTCAAATAGACCTACACGATGACAGACATAACACAGCAATTCGCTAATAATCAGTTAATTAAGTCGGTTAACAGATACGCAAAAACAAATTCATGACAGTAGCGTCACTTCGGTTCGGTGAGGAGTTGCCCCTCAAAACTAGAGATGACCTGTTTCAAGACATGGGCCAGACTACAATCGAACAATTTAGTGTCGAAAATAACGAGGTTGTTCTTGACATCCGGATGGAAGACACTGTAGGTAGGTCATGTTGCTATAATCCATGAGCTGTAGACATTCTCATGGCTACATTGCATCACTTCATGTAGGCATAAAATATTTTTACTTCCGTGCTCGGATTAATAAAAAAACAGACTAGCAATGAGTTATATGCTTTCTATTATTGTCTGATATTTGTTGTTAGTAAAGATGTTTAGAAATTATTCCGTGTCAAGAAGGCATTCTTTTATTGTGATTTTATTTCTACGTTGAAATGAAAGGAACCGTTGATTTTATTGAATTTGCTTTGAATGACAATATTTTTGAAAGATATTCATACATATATTTTCTTTCGAAATTGTGTTTTTTCACTTGTTACCATGGTATTTCAATATGTTTTGTTGTCACCAGGTTCAGACGAATTGTGGATCGTGGATTTTCAGCCATTTATGTATCGGGGTGAAATTATTGACGAAAACATCGGAAATCTTTTACATTGGCCGATAACTATTTTGATGACACGTTTTTTCAAAATTTCGACGGAAATGGAAATAAACTTTTGTTTAATTCATATGAAAGAGGAGTAAACTACACACACAATGGTACTGTACGAGGCGATCGTGTAAGTAAATTGACTACGTCATCTTCAAGTTCCGTCCGTCTGGGTATATGTGATTTATGTGATGGGTGGGCGTTTGCGGCTGGGGTTCGATGTGGTCGGAATGTGCCACGGGTATAACTTCTACCACCTTTCTGATAAAATGTTGTGAGGATTGGCGCCCTAGACATTGATAGCATCTGTTACGAACTTACCACGTCGCAAATGTTTCTTCGACAACGCAAGATATGCATTTCTTTCCAATTTGACAGGGGAGACTGGATGGGAAGGGAAGGGAAGGGAAGTAAAGGCAGGCATTTTTTCATTGTAGTTTTTATTTAGGACGATTTTATTTGGGTTTACTTGCAGTTTTTTATACATCTTATCTCGGCTATCTTAACTAAGTTAAGACCAGGGATGTATAAACCTCCATGTTAAGACCAAGATAACAAATAACAGTAAGTAAAACAAACAAAGAACACACACAAAAATAATCATAAATAAACAAAAATAATAGAAAGTATGTTTATTAAAAAAAAATATATCTACAAGGGATTGTAATGAGATTGGGGAAATTGGGCATATTAGAGATTGATCCTTCGAAATTGTGTTAAGTTCAAGTTGTTTTTAGCAAATTATTAATGACCTACCCACCATCTTACTCGTGAAGGCTTACACGAAGACCAAACCTTTTTTTTATTTACACCTCCCTCTAATTAAAGTCTTAACCGCACTCAGTGATGAAATTGGGAAAGGTAACCAGACTACCTAAACGTAAACCAAACATGAGCAATCTTTATCTGGTTCCCGCCTCAAGTGTCGCGGTGCACCATGGACGCCCGGAAACTAGACTGGCCCAGTGACGGTCATTTTTTTGTTTTATATGATAATTTATTAGAACGAGTGGGTAAAATCTCTAGCGTTGACACTAGATGGTAATTTCGCATCAGAGAAAGATGTGAAATTGCCGCAGCTGGACCAGTCTCGTCTACCTGGGAAGAGCAAACACAACTAGTTACAGCGCCATCACTCGACAGTGTATTTATTGTCACATGACTTGCACAGCTGACAACTTTATAAGAGCAGACGGAAGTTTTCAGTTCGCATATCTCACTGATGTCTGACACTGTCATTTCAGGTATGGTTGACCGAATGGTGGCCATTTTTGTGCTAAAAAATCGTCAAATATCAAGCATTTCTGGATGGATTTCGTTCAAACTTATAACATACATTGAACATTACGAGTTCCTGATGCACGTCATTTTATTTTTCAGATCGAATTTGAAATGGCTGACTGGCGGCCGTTTTGTTTAAATGAATGGGCTTCTAGAGCCATATCTCTGACATGCTTTGACTTGATTATGTTCAAATTTGTATATTCATTATACATTATGTTATAGATATATACATGTATTCAAAAGTACTCGTTTGACGATCATTTTAATGTTAAACAATCATCATAATCATATTCCTGACATGGTTATTACTATAAACAAAAATATATATCTTAAAACTATTAAACTCAGACTGTGCCATGCATGGCTTGTTTGATTTTTAAAAATTCATTGTTAAGTGACAATTTTGTCTTTTTCCCTAGCCAGGGGATACAGCAGAAGAGACTCCAGTGTGCAGGATAATAACTCCTGGTTTCTGCTCTCAAAGTTGGGAATTTAAATTTGAATTGGGAGTAGACTCATCAAATTTGAATAGTGAGACCCCAGTTGGTGCTTTGGGAAGTTTTGAATTTGAGTATTACACCCACAAATGTGAGGACTTGAACAATAATACAGGTAAATGCTTGTCCAGAATGATATACAACACAGAGTACATAACTAATTACATGAATTCCATGCATCTATGACAGTACACGGTCGCATCGATCTCCGCTGCGTGTCTTCGTGCATACTTTTCGATATCCTCGTGATAACCTCATATTATTATTCTGCAACCACTTTAGTGCTGCATTCATCAAGTATAATTAAACTGATTTACAAACATCACCACAGATTAGATTGTTTTGGTTGCTCTTTTGTATGGTTGCACATGCTCATTCTGCAGAGTGAACAGAACCAAATATTGAGCCTTAACGTAAGCATAGTAGTAGGCACTATATGGCATTCATATTATTTACTATTTAAATTGAAAAAATGTTAAAAAATTAAATACTTGCATTACAGGGTGTACTCAGATGGACACAGAAGCTAACTTGGTTGCAGCTGAGGTCACAGTTCAAACTGTGGTTGTAGCTGTTGATGAAGATAAAGACGGGATTACTGTAAGCATGTATCATTTGTGATTTTAGAGAAAATCTTCTTTTCCTATTCTTAAGAAGAATAACCGTACATATTCAAGATTACACACATGCATAGCCAGCATGAAAATGTTAAAATATTTGTTTAATTAAATGACTTAAAGTTAGTTGCATTGTTTTTTCATGTATTGCACTTGTGCATTGGTAGAGAATACATTTGGTTGCAGACTAAGTTGCATTATTTATTCAATATTCAACCTACATGCACATGTGTCTATCGTAAAGGGTCATTCAGTCTTCACACATCAATGTTTGTAGCCAAAAAATGAAGTGAAAAAGATATAGTATGTGTGTGTTTCACTGAGTAGATATCACCGTGACAACTCTAAAATTACCCCCTAAAATATATTATTATGATGTAGCTAAAGATAATTTGCATGAATTAGTTGAAAGATAGTAGCTCTTTTATTGGAGGTGATTTTGTACACTGATGAGCGGAGTACTGAGTCTCTGCACATTTTGAACATTTAAAATCTGTTTTACCTTCTGGTTTGTTGACATTAGGTCACACAATATGGCAAGAGCACAAATGATAAATGTGAAAATGCTATCAATTTAGGAATCAGGAATTTTTTAGATGCAAGAAATTCCTTTTCGGGTGACAGTTTGCATCGATTGAAGCGGTGAATATGGTTGATGTATGACAGAGTTCAAACAACTGATCTGACAACATATGTACCCCTGCAACTACCAACTTATTGCAACATGGGTAGAAATGAAATGATGTCTTCCTCTAAAAAGTCCCAAGTCAACATGTTTGCAGATATTTTTGTTGTCTCTATGTGATGTATACTCTATGTATATTTTCTGATCTGTAAATAGATTGGCCTATTCTAAAAGTTTTACTTACATACACTTGACTTAACAGCTCAATGTGGTGAAGATGACTAATGAAAACGGGGAAGACCTGAGAGGAGGAAAAGGTGTCAATCATGGTGAAAATGTCACTGTAGAAGTCAGCGTGTCACCAGCATTCTTGCGTGTAGATTTCACATTAGAATTACAACTATTTGTCACCTGTATAGGAGAGTACATGCAATATTCGACCAAGGTAAGATTATCTGTGGGAATTAATCCAATTGTATACACTAATATATAATGATGTTGATATTGGTACTTTTTCTCATGTGATCTTGGGGCAGTGAATATATACATGTGTACAGGAAACATAATCTCTTCATTTAACCATTTCACCACCAAGACATTCTCGCCCAAATTTGTCTGTACTTTTTCTTATATTCTTCAATATTTCTGGAAATAAACCTATATTTTGGAGCCAACAACTCAAAAATTTGGCTACTTTTGTCTCAATCTTCTGAAGCAAAGTACAGACTATAAACAGGACTATTTTGTGAATTTACGATGAAAAGAGGGAACTGGTGGTGAAAAGGTTAAGCGCTGATAGTTGATAGTTATTTATAATAGTTATAAAAGTTAAATAGTGGTTCATTTTTCTCTCACTTTCATTTAGGAAGGTTTGAATGATATATTACGTTTGCCATGTGTATGTTTAAGGTTATCAAGTGACTAGTGGCTATTTTTTGTTCATGTTTGAATGCAAGTCTTTTTTTCATCCAGCTTGTCTCGTTCACCCCATTGTTATACTGTTGCCTGCATTGAAAATATTTTAAAATACTTGTAAATTTTTGTAATATAGGCATGGCAAATTCATATTTTGTTGCTATTTATGTTATTGAAATGTTATTTTATTCTCAGGGTTGCCTTGCTGCTCCGAGTGAGCAGAGTTTTACATCATTTGTAGATGAAGACCTGTCTTTCAAGTATGATCCTGATGATGATCCCATATTTGGTTTGTCTAAGGATGAGATTGAGGAGATTTATAATGGCCTCAAACCAACTGCACCGACATCTGGTGTGTAAAGTACCACTGATGGCACTGTTAGCAAGCCAGGTAGGAGACAGTACAGTGTCAATAATGGGTACATGAGGCAGCCTTAGACATTATGAAGCATTGATGCTCGTCATTTTCTTTTTCAGATCAAATTCAAAATGGCCAACTGATGGACATTTTGTATTAACAAATGCTGTGCATTCCTTGACTGACTGAAATCAAATTTTATATCTACATTATACATCGTCACAATGAATTCCCCATAAATGTTAAGCCCTACTATGACAACGGATTTGAATTGAAAATTGGTCAAAATATATACAACAGAAGTTTATAATTCAAAATGATTATGTTTTTTTTTCAATTTTTTTTAATAGCCTATTACAGGAAATAGTTTCAGGAAGTTCTTGAATAATATTCTTCTTACAAGCTCTAAAATTGATACAAAACCTTGTCATAATAATTACTGTGTTGAACAGTTATACATCAATTATGATTTTACTACAAGAAATGTAATTCATTTTGTTACCTTGTCTTGAAAGGCGAGGTATATGAGGGGGAATATTCTGTCCTTGTCTTTGTTGTTGACTCTGTTGTAAAATATTTTCTTGTGGTCACAGTAACTCAAAAAGTTGTTTTTTCCAGTTTCTTTCAAACTTAGATATTAAACTAGTTTAGGATCTCAGCAAAGTATGATCATGGTTCATGTTCTGATATATTTCAAGATATTCATTAAATTTCACTTAAAATTGCCTTCTTGTGGTTACAATAACTCAAACATTTTTGATCTGATCATTTACAAATTTTAGAATCTTATCAATAACTATTCAATTCAAGTTCAATTTTGGTGTAACTAGCAAGTGCAACTTTCAAGATATGGGGTAAAATTTGACTGAAATAAAACATTTTTAGACATAGAAATAAGTGCACATAATGAAGACATTTATAATGCTGATGAGAAGAAGTTACAGTAATAATATGCTTATCAAGATCTGTCAATTAGATAAGTGTAGTAAACTGATATGTTGTTTTCAGTATTAAATGAAAACTGAAAAATTGCAGTGTTTCACGCAATTTTCAAATCTGGCTACTGCATTATTATGCAGTTCGAAAATGGGGTCTAATGAATTGACCTCTGTGCGTGTGTCTGTGTGGACATGCCTGGACTGATTACATTCAAACTTCACACATACATTATAAATAATATTATACACATGCGCATCAATTTGTTTCCCAATCTGATTCAAGATGGCTGAATGGCGGCCATTTTTGTGCTAGAAAATCATCAAAATCCAGTATTTTTTGTCATTCCGGAACCAGATCTTGCCTGTTCACAGATGGATTTTGTTCAAACTTGGTACATACATTGGACATTGTAGGACATTGATGCATGTCATTTTGTTTTTCAGATCAGATTCAAATTGACCGACTGGTGGCCATTTTGTTTAAGTAAATGTGGTTCTAGTGTCATATCTCTGACTTGTTTTGACTGATTATGGTCAAATTTTATATATTCATTATACATTATGTCACAGATATACAGATGTGTACTAGTTTGACAAACCAATTCAAAATGGCCGAGTGTTCAAATTTTATATTCATTATACATGATTATGTTATAGATATACAGATGTTTTGGTTTGACTTTCTAATTCGAAATGGCAGACCAATGGCCATTTTGTTTGAATTAATGTCATTCCAGAGCAATACCTTTCAATATGGACAAGTACTCGTTTGATGATCAGATACAAGATGGCTGAATGTCAGTCATTTTAATGTTAAAAAATCATGTTAAAAAATCACAAGCATCAGCTTTTGGATTCATATCTCTGACATGTTTATGTTCCAACTATATTACTATAAACAAAACTGTCATCCTAAATTTGATAACTAGCTGGAACTGTTCCATGCATGGCATGTTATTTGTCAGAAATTTCATACAATTCATGTTATAATATTCTATAAGGGACATTGAGATTAATACAGTACATGTAGTTTTGATTGAGGAACATGAATATTATTTATTAATTAATTTTTAATGTAATTATACTTTTGTATATTTGTATTTTATGTTTTCCACACACAATTCTTAGATAATGTATTATTGCGTTGTTTCAGGACTTTTATACTCACTTTACTAAGCTATTGCATCATTAGTTTGTTATCCATTCATCCATACATATTTTATTTAATCTGGGTTGTAATAATTACGCTATGTTTTTCTCATCTAACAGAATTTCCTGATCCAGTTGCATTTTGGCCTCTTAATGCACTATTTAAACTGGCTGATATGAGTGGTAATGGCAATGATGTCTTTCAATATACCGCTGTACTGGATAAAAGCGTTGAAGGACACTCTGAAGGAGCTTATCGATTTTATTCTGAATCTTACATTGAGTTCCCTAACAACGATGGCTATGATACAAACACAAACTCATTAACTATGTTGGTTGATATCTATCCAGATGGGAACAGCCATACAGGTCCTCTCTTTCATTTCGCGCCAGATGGTTA